CATAGCTCCATCAGTACCGCTGCCAACTTTTCTGTAAATTCGATACTGTTGTTTTACAGTTCCGACCTGGATTTTCGACATCGAGCTTCTATCAGATCAGACGCGAATGGGTCCGCGATGAGAGGGGGTAAATTGTGATGCATTCATGCAGAGGGGATAAACAAATCTTTGTACACGTCATCACCAAAAATAATGACACGTGGATACAATCTGTCGCAGCTCCACTCGCCACGTGGCCGTATGAAGTGGCATCAAATTAAACTGTAAATTCTTTATAATTTTGTAAAACCACGTGTAACCAAATACAGGGTTCAGCACAGGGTGACATTTGTTCCTATCGTGACAAATCATGTTAACAACCGCATGTTACATAACACGACCGGCACAAAATAGCACTGAAACACGGTGCAAAAACGAGTCACATTTTCAAGAAGCTATATTATACCGACAGATAACACGACGTTACTTCACCCCATTCTATGTCTCTTCACTGTGCCGTTCCGTCGGCTCATCTCTGCAAAGAGTCCAATTTCTGTGAATCCCCGTAGCCCTCAGACAGCGAACAGATCGTCAGAAACAGGAAACCAAAATTGACAAAACGGAATCGTAGCACCGTCATTTACCATGAATCATGTATGCACGTGCTGCTGCAACATATGCTCCGATTGTAAAAGCACAACGGAAAGGCGAAATCAGGTAAAGTAACGGTAAAACTTGCAAGGGGCTTGCGTCCATGAAAGCTGGTGATATCGTTAGTTATACCAGCTTCAACGAAACACCTCCATGGGAAACAAGAAAACACATGAATGAAGGAGAGAGAAAACTGGAATAAAAAAAAGATCGGCAAAAAACACGAAGAATGAAAAAGGTAAGGTCAATAAGTCGGCAAACACGATGGCGAGGAGCTTCTCTTGTGCTACGCTTGTTAGCTAATAGGAACTCGTAAACATGATGGCGAGGACGAGAGGGGATGGATAGGAACTCGTAAACATGGGATGGTGTGCTCGAACAGACACGGTAGTAGAGCATATATGCACCAAGAATGATTGTGAAGGTGTTGAACGGGATGAAGCAAACATGGTGGGTGGGTGGGTGGGAGGGGGTGTGGCTCAGGTGGGGGAAGCCTTCCGTTGCAGATAGGGATAAGGTGCACAGTACAGTAACGTGTTTGCTGGTTGATTGGCAGATATTTGTGCCATGCTGTCATAGAACGGAGGGCTAACAACTTCGGGGTACTCAGATATGTGACACGTTGTTTACAGCTTCGCTGAGAGTGAATACGAACCTGGCTACGCGATTGGCTGGAGCTGGCAGCCGAGGGCAAGAATGCTGACTTGTAATGCAAACGCGCCAAAGGCTTGCCAGCAAGGAACTGTACACCGATTAGCTGGGAGAGCCAAAATCGCGCCAAACATCATTCCGATTGGCTGCGCAAATCAGATTATGCGCCACCTCACCTCGTCCTTGGTTTGCTGCTCAATCGAAGCATACGATTGGCTAGGTCGTGTAGGCAGCAAAATCGGGCTTGTCTCCGCAAATGAACCTCACTGGCTGCAAAGATGCCAGCGACCTCGGGCAAACTCAAACAAAATCTTGTGAGTGCCAACAAGGCGAGTACGTCATTTGCTGGTTAGTATTCAACACCTTATGGTGCTTCTCACCCAATACTAGCACATATGAGTGGACAACAAATGCAGAGGCAAACGTTATGCTCGATGCAGATTGGTGAACACAAAGGCCTGCAATCTTGTAAAGTATTGCAAACACCATGTTAGAACTCAAAAGGATTGGATGGTTTGCTTACCACCATACCCTAATACCACCAAGACATCATCATTACTGTACATTCCTAGATTTGTGCTAACATGCTGAAAATGGGCGAAGTAACTTGATATCTACGCACAGGTGCATGTACAATTTTTTAACAAGTATTATGCCATGGAAAGATAAGTATTTATTTTAAATACATGAATTTTATTTCGACACTATGCCTCCTTTTTTATATAACCAATCTTATGGTACATTCCTACAAGCTACGGTAGTTTAGCTTTCATTACTTTAGTGAAGATTTCCCGTGTCGCGCGGCAGCTTATCCCAACTTCTCGTCATATTGTGTTTTTGACTTGCGAAATTTTGCGACCCTACTGGTATACCATATGGCAACAGTTGTTTTGCGGATTTCAATAGGCACGTTTCGATAGTGGCACATGTTCAAATCGCAATTTTGGAACCCGAAATTTAGCCGACCCATGCAAAGCGTGACAACGCAGCACATGCACAGAAATTTGTGTATCGCCTGCACAACGGATTGGAACCAGCGCAAAGACACCTCAAATAGCAAACAAACCAGCAGATAACAATGTCCACAATCGTGCACCCCACCAGCTAGTGGGAAATGTGGCGTACCTGTTAAGAGACTTCTACCTCACCCCACTATATGCTCCTCGGGGTTGCCTCATGACGGACTAGGAGCAGCGCTTCAACTACTGCCACGGTGTGACAAGGATGGCCATCGAAAGGTGCATCGGCGCGTACAAGGGTCGGCTTCGCCTTGTACGGGGGTCGTGTACAGTTACCCGAGTCGGATATGGAACCACAAAAATAGTATACCCTTGCGAAGTGCATCTTAGCTAGACCCTTTGCATTCTCTTGTATGACTATATGAACCATGTATCCCCATGCTATAATCAACATTGTTAAGTTATATTGACTTTGACAAAGTTCATCGACCAATTAATCGCTTCCACAAAGCACACTACTGAACTAAGATCATATGGACTATATTGGATCGCTTCAGGTATGGCTGTTTGAATAATGAAATCGAACCATTTTTTGCAAAGATAGGGATCAATAAAAGATAGCGCCATTTAAGCAGTAATATGGATACTGGTGCATAAACATTGGTGTAATTTAGCCAATATTGCAAACTTTCTAACTCAAATTGAAGTATGTGGCGCCTTCGTTATAGCACGACCTCGCTGCCATCTGATTTCGAGGTTTAAAGGAGAATGGAGTAGGGAGATATGGTTCTGTGAATAATGTACTGGATGCATATTGAGTAAGGATATGGGTGGGTAAAAGATAGCACCATTTAGGCCCTATTATAATTTTTAAACCATCATTTGAAGTGAAACCCCCTTTTTATACTGATACCTCTATGCCATCCAAATTTGGGGCCCCCGATGGAGAAGGGAGGAGAGAGTTATGGCTGTTTGAATAATGTAATAGGGGCGATTCGTGTAAGGATAGGGGATTATAAAAGATAGCGCCTTGGCATTGTCGAAATTCGTCACCCTGTTTAAAACATGCGCGGAGGGGTTAATCAAAAAAACCCGGAGCTGGTGGTTACCAGAATCGGCGGCGAATTAGTCGCCCCCGGCGGTTTTTTGAGGCAGGTTCTCCTGCTGCTGCTGCCTAGCTGAGCGCGGCCGAGTGAGAAAAACTCAGATTACCAAGTGTCACAGGATCGAATGGGTCGAGGAAAAGTTGCACTATCCATTGATACAAGGCGCCTTTATACTTCCAATGTACATCAGGTGACCAGATTTCCAAAAGGAATAGACCCTTCTAGAAATAGAATCACCATGCAATTAGCCATGCGAGGTTATTGGCTTCAAGGGATTACGACAAGATTACGGTAGATATAGCACGCCAGTACATCCCGAGTCTGGTCGGTGATATAATTATAATAGTAGGATAACCCAAATGATAATGAAAAGGGAGGAATAGGAATCCAAATGAGATGAGATAAAGACCAAATGAATCAGATAAAAAGGAGAAGGAGAGAGGAAAAATAGGGAAATGAGAAAGAAGTGTAACGGGGTTGTACTCTCAGACAAAATCTGTGCCGATGACGTGGCTACAGATAGGGGTGACACGTCCCTCTCTCTCCGCGTCATCCCTCTCTCTCCCACGTCGACGCTGTCCCTCTCTCTCCTGCGTCGTCCTTCTTTCTCCCCCGTCGTCCCTCTCTCTCACACGTCGTCCCTCTCTTTCCCGCATCGTCCCTCTCTCATCGGCGTCCTCCCTCTCTCTCCCAAGTCGTCCCTCTCTCTCTTTGCGTCGTCCCTCTCTCTCCGCATCGTCCCTCTCTCTCCCGCGTCGTCCCTCTCTCTCCTGCGTCATCCCTCTCTCTCTGCGTCGTCCCTCTCTCAACGCGTCCTCCCTCTCCCTCCCGCGTCGTCCCTCCCTCTCCACGTCGTCCCTCTCTCTCCCGCCTCGTCCCTCCTGTCAACTTATATATTCGGTACATATAGTTGTATAGGCTTGGTAGGAGTTGGGTGTTCTACAAATGACTGGATCCTACTGTAAAGCGTACAACCCACTTATTGTACCTCTCTCTCTCTCCTAGTCAAATCCTCTTTTCTCTCGTCACTTTTCCCACCTAGCTAAAACCTCTCGCTATTCTCATGCCTACCTAGCCTAAACCTACGTCTAACACCTCCCTCTCTTGCCTTGTCCCTCCCTCTCCCGCCTCGTCCCTCCCTCTCCCGCGTCGTCCCTCCCTCTTCGGCGTCGTCTCTCTTCCTCATTCTCCCACTCTGATCCTCGTAGTCCTTCCCTCTCCCTCGTCATTGCTCTTGTCTTGTCTCCTCGTCGTCATCCCCTCTTCCTCTCGGAATTCTGGTATGTTTGATGCATGCTCTGCGGCAATTTCCTGCAGTTCGTCCTATCTCCTGCATTGGGTTCTACGTGATCAGTGTGAAATTGTCACACACGTAAACATGTACAGTAACTTTACTCGCATGACCCCTATTTCGATTCAAAGATTACTACTCTCCAATATTTCGGCATGAATCCATCTGCCCGTAAAAAGACCCCGGTTTTCTGAATATTTGAAGGTCTTTTTTCTACTCAAGCTGGCCCCAACTTGAAAGTGGGTTTGCTATTTTAGCTTGAGGCTTTAATACCAAGCTACCACATTACTGATTTGTTATGCATGAGGATTCATTCGTCCTGCGCATTGCACAAGTTGGGAAAGGACTAAATGACCAAGAGCCTTTTTCGACTCCCTTATCATCCTTCCCCAGGCTCATCTTCACTCCCTCCCATACTTCACGTTGCTGATGTTCAAGATTTGGTATTGTCCCTTCCGAACAAGCCACTCGAGCAATCATCCACTTCTGGCCACCTGCCTGCTTCTCCCTTCGACAGCACCCCTTCTTTTTCATCGTCGATCACTCCCAACTTCCATCCTTTTCTGCGACATCAACATCGTTCCGATCATCCTCCACATATCCCTTCTTTGGTAAATTGCCCATTCTACCATGTCCATGCTCCCCAAGGCCACAGCCACCCTCTTGAAGTTTCTGCCATCTCAGCTCCCTCCCAGCTCCCTCTCAGCTCCCTCTCGGCTCCCTCCTTTCATCTCCCTTCTTCCACCTCCCTCCTTCCACCTCCCTCTTTTCATCTCCCTCCTTTCAGCTCCCTCTTTTCTGCACTTTCTTTCTAAACTTCGCCCTCGCTCTTGCCTTATCTCCTTCCCCTTGCCCACTTTCTGTTTTTTCCATCAATACCTTTACAATTACCACTGCCTCCTGCCACCATTACCTCCGATTTCTACTCAAGCAATATCACACTCCACTCCTGCTCCCCTCATTGCACACCTCTGTTGTAGCTCCCACCGACAACACTAGCGCCCGAGCCCGACCTTCGCTGCTGGTGCTCACTACTGCTGCCCCTCCTGCCACCTTTGCTGTTTCTACTACCGCAGCTGCCTCCCACCCTTCCCTCCTGCGTGCCAACCTTCCCACCCAATCCTCCCCGCTGCTGCTACTCAAGCTCCCTCGCTGTTGTTAACTTCAACAAAAACATGTTCCCGCTGCTCTTGCTGCTCCTCTCAATGCTGCCCTTTTACCGCGGCTCTTGCTGCTGTCCTTCCCAACCTCTCCTCCAGTGCTCCAACTTCCCCTGCCTAAACCCTGATGCATCACTTCAGCTGTCCTTCACCTGGACTCCCAACTCTCGCTGCTGCTCTGCTCTCTTGCTGCTGTCCTTCCCAACCTCTCCTCCAGTGCTCCAATCTCTCCTGCCTACAACCTGATGCATCATTTCAGCTGTCCTTTGCGCCAAATCAAAAGACACCTCAATGCCTTCATCCCCTTCAATCGCTCCCCCCTCCCATTACTCCCCCTCCCCTCCCTCCCCTTCCCCTCACTCCTCCTCCCCCACTTCCCCTCCCCCCCCCCCCCAATTTCCCTCCCCAAGAGACAGAGCTGCCACGCCCTCCGCAATCACTGCTGCTGTCCGCTCCCCTCCCTTCCCCCCTGCACTCCCTCTTCCCACTGCCTCCTGGTTCCTCCCTGCCGCTGCTCGCTTCCCTTCCCCTCCCCTCACTTCCCCTCTCCAAGAGACATAGCTGCCACGCCTTCTGCAATCGCTGCTGCTGTCTGCTCCCCTCCCTTTCCCCCCTGCACTCCCTCCTCCAACCCCCTCCTGTTTCGCCCCTGCCGCTGCCCAATCACCAGCAGCACCACCACTACCTCCCTTCCCCTCCCTTCATTTCCCCTCCCCTCACTTCCCCTCCCCAAGAGACAGAGCAGCCACGCCTTCTGCAACCGCTGCTGATGTCTGCTCCCCTCCCTTCCCCCCTGCATTCCCTCCTTCAACCCCGCCTGCTCCGCCCCTGCCAGTGCCCCATCACCACCAGCCCCAGCACTGCCTCCCTTCCCCTCCCCTCACTTCCCCTCCACCAGCAGCAGCAGCACCGGCAGGCGTTGGGCTAGGAAGCACAGAAGCAGGCAGCATGCTAGCAAGCACACTCGCACTACTAGACACTCCTCCTCTGCCCACCCCCCCTGCTCCTCCCACCCCTAGCCCTGACCCTGCTCCTCCTCCCCCGCCCCCTCCCCCTCCTCCACTCCCCCCTCTCCCCCTCCCGGCACCAGGAGCAGCGCCTATAGGTCCCGTGTGAGTGTGAGGGTACATCATCCTAGCATGCCCACCAAACCTAGCGGCAGCACCAGCAGCCGTCCCAGGAGCAGCCGCGGAGGGAAGCGGCATGCCGGCAGGGTTGAAAGCAGGGTTGATGGGCCAAGAGGCATCAGAGGCAGGAAGGGGAAGTCAAGGGGACGAGAGTCCAGTCGAGGCTGCGGGGCGAAGTGAAAGGGTAGAGAAATGAGGAGTGATAAATATGCCTGAGGCAGCAGCACAGCGGTATATATTTCTTTTTGAGACGCCTCAAAACGAAATTACAAACACACAGCGGTATATATTTCTTTTTGAGACGCCTCAAAACGAAATTACAAACACATAGCGGTATATATACCCGAGGCAGCAGCACAGGTCCCGGATTCCGCCCCACTACAATCCACCTCTGCTGCTGCAGTTGCTGCTGATGGTGCTGCTGCTGCAAGTGCTGCTGCTGGTGCTGGTAGTGCTGCTGCTGCTGCTGCTGCTGCGGGTGCTGCTGGGGATGCTGCTGCATCGGGTGGGGCTGCCGCATCTTTCTCTCCTGCATGGCGCGCTGGCGGCTGTCATAGAAGGTGAAGTCATCCAGAATGGAAGTGCGCGATGAGTACGACTTGAATATGCGCAGCATCTCCTGGCCCTGGTTCAAAGGCACCTGGTGGTGGGGAAGGGGGGAAGGGGGAGGGAGGGAGACCAGAGAAAGGGGATAGAGGGGGTAGGGGTAGGGTCGGTGGAGTGAAAAGTGGAGAGGAAACGGTCTACTGGTGGTGTGACTGGGGTTGCGGGTGCGGGAGCTGCTCCTGTTGCTGCCTGGTCTTCCTCTCCTACATGGCGCGCTGGCGGCTGTCATAGAAGGTGAAGTCGACCAGAATCGAAGTGCGCGACGAGTACGAGGAGTCTATTTTTGAGTCTATTTCAGAGGAATCTGATGGGGGAAGGGGGACGGGGAACACAGAGAGGGGAGAGAGGGGACGTGGGAGGGAGGTGGAGGGGGGGGGGAGGAAGGGAGAGTGAAAAGAGGGGAGAAAACCGGCTACTAGTGGCACTCCTGCATTAGCTGGTGCGGGTGGTGCGGGTGCAGGTGAGGGTGGTGATGCTGCGTCGTCCTCTCCTTTCCCCCCATATCTCTCCTTCCCTCACTTCCTGTGTATCCCTACTCTTAGTAATCGGCTTCCCATCATTCAATGCACAATGATCATATGTCGGAACTGCGAGTTGGGCCATGAACTTGACCCCTTTCCCTCCCATATATCTCCCTCCCTCACCTCCTGTGTATCCCTGCTCTTAGTCACTGGTTTCCCATCATTGGATGCAAGGACGATGTGTCGGAACTGCGAGTTGGGGCCATGCACTTGACCCCTTTTCTTCCCATACATCTCCCTCCCTCACCTCCTGTGTATCCCTGCTGTTGGTGATGGGTTTTCCATCTTTCGATGCAATGATGATGCAATGATGAATCTCACCCCCTGTCAAGCAACCGCCCTCACCTCTTGAGTCTCCCTGCTGTTGGTGACGGGTTTCCCATCGTTCGATGCAGTAATGATATGCCTGAACTGCGAGTTGGGGACGCCCTTGATCACATGCCACTTCACATGCAACTCGATAACCGTTTCTTCAACTGTATTCTACAAACTGCTCTATTTCCTATTTTCTATATACTACTGTATGCTTGCTTCTTTTAATCAATCACTTGCTCTCACATACTAGTGCAAGGGTTCAACTACTCGATACTTCCGCTGCACTACTCAAGCATCTTGTACAAGTGAGACTTAGTCCCAGGAAAGATCCTAAGGGCTTTTCTCAGCCCAACATGGTATCAGAGCTGGTCAGAGATCAAACTCCCATCAACAACATCCTATCTACAGTCAGCTTATCAAAACTTCATCGATTACAAGTCATGGACAACAAGGGAAAGAAGTCTTCTACGGGCTCACCCAGCGCCCAAGACACTCAACCCGGCATCTCTGGACTACACACTTCAGGACTACAAACTGAGACCGGCGCTGCTCAAGAAACAACAGGAAGGGTACCAGAAATGGTGACCCCTTCACCCTCTTCAGGCGTAGACCCAAACCTCATGGAAAGGTTCTTCAGATTCATGTCACACTTTGACCAGCAGCAGCAAACAAGGACACATGCGCATTCAACACAGAGTAACGGGGGAAATATGGGATTAGCACCAATGAGCCTCGACAACTCATCATTTGGGCGACACAACCAGGCGCCTACCTTTGCGCCTTATCACTCTTCACCAGGGACGTTTGAGTTCATGCCACCCCGTGCTTAACCGATAGCAGCTGCATCACAACAGACACCAAACGAGATATTGAGTCTCCAGGCGCAGCTTTCACATATGATCAAACTGCAGACATCTTCACTGTTCAACGGACACGACTTCTTTACCTGGAGTTTTGAGTTCGAGCTGCTGATGGAGGCCGCGCACCTTTTGGGATACTTCAACGGGTCCCTGCCATTTCCAAGCAACGGCACTGCAATGGAGCAGGAAATCTTCATTTATCAGTCCCTGCTGGCGTACACAGTTCTCCTGCGAAATCTGTCACCACAAGAGCAACAGAGCATGAGAACGTATCGGAGCTACGGAAACTCCGCGGAACTCGCCTGGCATCATATGAAGTGTCTCTATCAAGCAAACGACAGTGTGACACAAAGCAGACTCATGCAACAGTTGACAACAATACAAATGAAGACCGGGGGAAAGGCGATGCAGTATATGAGTCGCTGCCAGACACTCCGCGACCGCCTGCTTCGGTGCGGAGGTACAATCACTGAAGAAAACTTCGTGACACTTGTTCTCGCCGGGCTCGGACCAGAATGGAGAACCACCCGCTCGCTTCTTCGCGCCCACGGACGAATTTCCGAGATGCACCTCTGTGCCGAGCTTCATGCCGAACAATAGGAGATGGACCTGTTTGAAGTAAGACAACCAAGAAACAAGCAGCAACCATTAGTCTTCTATACTCAACAAAGAAACGACAACAACTACAACCGACGTGATAAGCTGAACCGACACGATACCAGAGGACTCACCATTGTGGCGCCGTTTTGCCACAACAGTCAGACATCCGGGCACTCCAAATTCAACTGCACACGCCCTCGAGTTTATCGTCCAGCAGACCCGCAAGTCGCCTCTACTCAAGAGAATCCGCCAAGCCGCTCCACCACACCTGCACAAGGCGCACCGAACATTATCAACTAGGTGGTGCACATCGACAACTGCACACCCGGATCACCACCCACTTACGCTCCAGACGAAGAAGAACCGCCGCCGCAATGCTCACAAGGTCTCCAGGTCAACCCAACGTACGCTGCAGTCGCCAACACCGAACCCACCAGGCGAAACACCTGGTTCTTGGATAGCTGCTGCGGCCAACATGTGTGTTCTTCCGGTTGCTTCATGCAACGAGAGCAACGCCTCAACTGCGATGTCATAATCACCGTCCCAACAAAGAGAACCTGAAAACAAACAAACAAGGTGTCGTTCAACTTCAGTCAATGGAGACAAACGTGATACTACAACTCAACAAAGTTCTCATCATCGACAACTTGGGATACAATCTACTAAGCGTGAGCCAGTTAATGGCGAAGGGAATTCACCTGGAATGTGTCTTGGACGACAACGAGTTTCGTCTTTACCACGGGAAGGGCGGACTCTTCATCGGTCGCGCTCTCCAGAAGTCGGGTGTCTTCGTGCTGGATTTCGTCCCCGACCGCGGTACTGCCAACAGCGATGGCATCGTGTCGTTTGCCGCCTGGACTCACCCGCCGGATCTTGACCCCGACTTTACACCAGACGGCTACTGGCACACCAACACCATCCCTGCAGCAGAGAGAACACGAGCATTAGCAGTCATCCACCAAAAACGACAAGTACCAGCAAACATCCTTCCTACGAACCGATGTAAAAAGTCTACAGCGACATCTTAAATATGCCTCGAGACGAGAGTGCAGCAGAGAACAACTATGTCATCACGTTCATCAACGTAGCAACATGATACATCTGGCACTACAACCTCAAGACACGAGATCAAGCATTCGAAGCCTTCACGACGTGGCTCCCCATCGCTGAACAAGAATCGGGCTCGCAACTTAAGAGTTTCTAGTCAGTCGGGGCACTAGAGTACCAGTCACAACGATTCAGGAACTACTTGGCAGAAAGAGGCATCATTCGCCTGGTGTCTCTGCCCTATGCTCACCAGCAGCACGGGGTAGAAGAGAGGATGAACAGAACCTTGCAGACGACGATGCGGAAGCTGCTCCTGGGAATGAGACTGCCCAACACGCTTTGGCCTGACGCGATGACGCATGCAGTCCACCTGCACAATTTGCTGTCCTCGACGTCACTTCCCAACAACGCATCACCGCACCTGGTGTGGACAGGAAAATAGGGCAGCACAAAATTACTTCGAGTCTTCGGCTGCATGGTACAGTACAGACCCCACACAGCCCGAGCAGGACGATTCTCTCAAAGAGCACGGTGGGGACTACACCTCGGCATCGCAAAACATTTCCAAGCATGGAAACTTCTCGACACTCAGGACAAAAGCACAGTGGCCTCACGTGATGTGATTTTCTATGAGCGAAAGGCACTGCAACATTCCCTGGACAACATCGCCAACACAGAAGACCCCACCGACGGCTTCAAGGGCCATCGGCCCTTCGCCGACCGTGCTGCCGAAGCTGACGCAGCAGAAGAAGACGTACCTGAAGCCTCGGAAGCTGCCGGACCACTCCCTTACTGCTCTGTGCCCGTTCCACTCGATGACGACAATCCTCTCAATAGTAACAACCTCGACACTTATTACCATTTCACTGACCAAGGTCACACTACACCTCAACCAGTCGACACAAATATCTCCGAGCGCATCGGACCCAATTTCTTACCTGACCCCGAGGACGGAGACGAAGCAGTTTATCCCGAGAATGAAACTTCCCCTCGACACACACCCACGGGTCTGCAGATACTTGGACTATGGGTCGCCGTCAAGAGCCCGCCGCCGCCGTCACCGCGCGAGCCAACGACTCTGTCGCAGGCTCTGGGGGGGGAACACAAGGCGAAATGGAAGGAAGCAATGGAAAAGGAACTGAAGGCCCTAGAAGATCGAAATACGTGGCAGCTGGTACCACTTACAAAAACCAATGGGAAGAATGTGCTCTCGGGGAAATGGGTGTACCGCATCAATACTAATGCGGATAGCTCCATCAACCGCTTCAAGGCTCGCTGGGTCGTATGAGGATTCGACCAGCGATACGGAGCCGACTACACGGAGACATTCGCCCCAATCTCCCGACACACTTCCCTGCGCATTCTACTCGTCGGCGTGGCCACGAAAAAGCTACCACTGCGCCAGATCGATGCCGCCAACGCCTTCCCGTACGCACCTGTGGACGCCGAAATCTTCATCGAGCAGCCCCACGGATTCATCGACGATCCCACAAAAGTGTGCCAGCTGGTAAAATCCCTCTACGGAATCAAACAAGCCACACGGCTCTGGCAGCAGCACCTTCACGGCTGCCTCGTCAAGATCGGTTTTCTGCAGCTGCCGCACGATCAAGGGATGTACCGAGTACAGACGGGGGGGGATTTCGTCCAACTCATTGTCTACGTTGATGACCTACTCTACGTCGGCTCCACAACCGACGTCGCCACCTGGTTCAAAGGGGAGCTGAGGAGTGACTTAAAACTCATGGAGTCAGACACCGTAAGCCAGTACCGAGGTCTAAACATCGTCGAAGACGACTCGGCGTCCTACCTACACGCCGGAAAATATGCAGGCGTTGTCGCGAAGATGTTCGGCCTAACACCAGTCGCATTCGCGACTCCCTATCGCTACGGGAACAACAGCGACACCTCCGCAAAGCTCCCTGCAAAGCAAATCCAGGAATATCAACAGAAGCTCGGCTGTCTACTGTTCGCAGCAGTAACCTGCCGACCGGATCTGTCCTATATTGGTGCAACCCTAAGACTTGCACTCGGCTTGTCGTCCTTGCTTGTGTGTGTGCATGCATGGCATGGAATGAATTGTGAGTCTATGTCATTGCTATCTAATGCTTGTGTGTGTGTTTGAATGGTGTATCACAATGTTGTTTGTGTCGGTCAAGACATTAGCGAGTTTTTACAACTCGCATGTCAAGTCGTCGTTTGTGTGTCGCATGTGTTTTTTCTATTTTGTCGGGTGTGAAGTTTCCATCGCGTCGCAGGTGTGTGCAGAAAGCCCCCATAAACTCAAGAAGAATTTATCTTGCAGATCCAAGACCAAGAGCTCAAGATTTCAAGCCCAAGGGATGCGGATAAATATTAAATAGTGAAAATAGTAACGCTACTTCGTGTAGTGTTACATTTCGCTTGGTGTAGCCCCTTGGAGGGTTGCTTTCAAGACTCTTCGTGGTTGGGGACTCTGTGGTGGTGTACCACCAACCTGGACCTCGGCTCCTAGGGTATGTAGAGGCTGGGAACCATCTCCCTCTCGAATTCTTCTAGCTAAGTTTGTACTTGCAAGACTATAGTGGCTGCTATACCTCCTGCCAGTCAAACCGTCATAGCGTCGTCACATCTTCATGGAATTTTATGATTCAACTTGCTGCTGATAGA